GAGCAAGAAAGGAAAATATTAGGATTGAACCTACGGTTGCATCTCGAAAGTCCAATAGTAAAAAGTAAGCATGTCCACTGTTTTCGCGGAAAAACAGCATAGCGTAAATGAAAAATGCCACAAACTTAAAGAAAATAAAGTATTATCGTCAAAATGCTTATATTATTATTAAGATAAAAGAAAAAAGTATTTTTTAATTATTTTTTGAAATTTTTTAATATTTTCTAACACGTTCGAAATTTTGGTTAAAGTCGTCTTTGTTTACGTCATCGCGGCGACGTTTAAAATAACATTGTTTTTTATTGCGTTTTTTTACCGTTGAAAACATATTGATTTGGAAATTCTTGTAAAAATAAAATAATTGTCCAATCTTAATGAAATTTTCAGAACTTATTCACAAATCAATGAAATTATTTTTGAAATATGTTTTTTAGAAAAATTTTGGTAAAAATATATTTTTTAAAATATGTTACCCCACATTTACTTAATTTAATGAAATTTATTTAAAACCTTTTTGGTTCCTGAATTTTTTTTTGTTAAAAGTAGGAGTCTTCGAAGATGGTAAATAACCTACTTTTTTTTTTCAAATTTGAGCTATTTAACTGAAAATCTGCTCTGAATTGAAAAATAATGAATCCAATAAAACTATGATATTACTTAATTAGAAAAGCTTTTAATTGCTTTTGTAAATAAGTAATATTAAGGACATTATTGTCTGAAGAAATAATTTTTTTCTGATGAATAATTAATTTTTACAAGAATTTTTTCGTTTTTTAAGAAATTTTAATTATAATAATTTATAATAGTCTTAAATCGTGTAAAGCTCTGTATTAGGAGGGTTCCTCGATATTATGTACTAATTAAGTAGAAAAAAAATTTACGAATCCAAAATTGCTAAGTTTAATAAATTTAGTTGCGCTACTTTTTAAAAAATAATTTTTTTATGTTGTATTTTTTTACTTAATACATTCCTTATTTCCATGTATGATATACAGAAATTGCCATTATTATAACAAGGTCACGTGATCTAAGGGTTTTGTCCCTTTACGTGGCCTTTTCAAAACATTTCGTTTCTTAAGTTGTATTTTCCGTTCAAAAATGTAAACTTTAAATTTTAAATTATTTTTTCTTTTTTTCATTTACTATTTCACTAAATAATTTTATTTTATGTATTGTATTGTGTGTGTCATACTCAAATAGAATAATTTTTTAAAAAACTCAGACTTAAAAATTATGTCATTTATGGTCATCAGTAGTAGCTGTCATCGGCTCGTCAATCAACCATTATCAATAAGATCAAACGGATGAACGGGACCGCTCGTTAATAATTGGATGTATATTATTTTTTTATGCTATAAGTAACAAAGATTTCTTTGAAATCAGATTACTTTAACTTTAAATTTTTTAATTTTACTAAAATAACGTGTCAGAATTTTTTTTAAATATTTTAAAAATCGATAAATTTGTGTTTGTTTACAAATTTCTTAAAATTAAGAAAATGGCCGTTTTTAAGAAAATTTAAAAATTTGAAATTAAATTTGACAATCAAATGTATATAGTTTCTATCTGAAATACACCAGAATTGTTTAATTAATAGAAATCGTAAATTTAGTTATTAAACTTTCAATTAAAGCTAAAATGAAATCTTCAAGGATGTTTTTTCATTGTAAAAAATTCATTTTAAACTTCAATATAGAAAATTTATGCCGAAATAGTGGAGGTACTTAGTAAAAAGGAGTGACTAATTAAGCAACCGGGTAGCACTCATAAGTTCAGGATCTCCACAGATGATGCGTTCAGGTGGCCTTATATCAGAATAAATTAAATATATAAAAATTTTAATATTTTATATTACTAGGATCCACTTGGATTATATACCAACGGATTTGTTACTATATATATATATATATATGTGTGTGTGTGTGTGTGTGTGTGTGTGTGTGTGTAATTAGTGCACTCTTAATGCAGTTTCTTCGTGATCTGACAAGTATTAAGTCGAAACTGTGGTCAGTGAATTACAAGTGGGTTTTAGATTAGTGCGACAGTCTCACAGTTCTTGACAATAAACCTAAGACCATATACAATATATATATGTGTGTGTGTGTGTGTGTGTGTGTGTGTGTGTGTGTGTGTGTGTGTGTGTGTGTGCGTGCGTGTGTGTGTGTATATGAGATTATAATAAAAACGTTGAAACTGCTACACAAAATCTTTCATGTTTCAATACTTTGATTGTACTTCTTCAGGAGTTTGCCATATTTCCATCGCCTGAAGAAGTACAATCAAAGTATTGAAACACGAAAAATTCTGTGTATCGATTTCAACATGTTTTCATTATTATCTCTTATAATAATAATAATAATATGTTGCTCTACTTTGTACTGAGCACATTTTAATGTAAATGCTACAAACATTGGAATTTTGCTCAATTAGTTCTTTCTCTCAATTGGATATATATATATATATATATATATATATATATATATATATATCTGTACAGATAGAGATAGATAGATAGATGTGCGTAATTTTTATGACGAGGGAGAGAAACAGAAAGATGCCGAGAGATTAATAGATAGATAATCACTGATCAAACACATATTTTATATATATATATATATATATATATATATATATATATATATATATATATAGTATTAGTGCAGCTGATCATTATTCAAACATATATTGTTAAATATAACGTACAGTGAATATGGATTATGCTTGATCTTGAGCTGTTCTAAGCTTCGTATAGTGGCTTTAGTTTCGGAAAAACTGTTCAACATTTGCATATTTTTATTTGAGCCGAAATCTTAGAACAGTTGTTGTCTTTATTTTCTCCCAAAGCTAAAGCCACTATTCAATGCTTTGAACAGCTCATGATCAAATTTAATAGACATTCATTAATTTACTAATTAAATTTTTTCATTATGTCGTGCTAAACAATTTTTTTCTCGTCAGAATCTATCTTATACATTTTTAAATCTACCTTTCGACCATGCATTGATTATTGCTGCCACATTTGGTCCGATCCTCCTGCTATATATTCAGAAAAGCTTGATAAAATACAAAGAAGAATCTGCAATATTATTGGTTCTCACCTGGCATCTTGGCTTCAGTCACTTTTCCATCATCATAATTTAGCTTCCTAGTACCTTTTCTATAAATTCTTTTATGGTAATTTTCCTGCTCAACTTTTGTGTATAGTTCCTAGATTATTTTTTAATTTAAGCGCAGTGTGGTCTGAGAATCTTGTCATCCCTACAAAATATTAATGACAACAATAGAAGAATAACTACTACAGTAATATAAAGCTCATGTACTGGATTCAGTATATTCACTTTCATGTGTCCATACACTTGCATGCAGCATCTCTTCCCAAAATGTATTACTATTATTATTATTATTATTTCCTTTAATATCTGTTGTATACTCATTTATTTCTAGGACCGAACCTAAGGTCACATATAACATTTTCCACTGTGCATTTTTGAGTGCAAAAAAAAGATAACATAAAATTTACAGATATAAAGCCCTTTGCAAGACGCATGTTTTACAGGATGGTCCAAAACTCCTGTCATCGCCTACCAAAAGGTATTGAGAACAATAGAAGAATAAGTAATACAAAGCACATGTACTGGATTCTATTTATTTACTTTCATTGACGCTGTCACACATTGAGAAGGTCTTTATGAACGACATCATTTTCGTGGAAGCAAACGATGCGACGACGCCATGTCCTGTGGGATATTTTACGAAACTGTGCTTTTGTTGATTGTTGCAAAGGCTCTCCGAACGTCGTCCTTCAACTGATGGGTATTCTGGTATCGTTCATGTGAGATTCTCTCCTTGATAATACCCCGACAGAGCGTTGAAATAGAAAATTATATTATGTAGGGGTGACAAGACATTCGGACTACTCTGTAGATTGGTGAAAAGGGCTCATCATAGAATCGAAATTATTAGATATAACTAAGTTCTATGTTGATATTTCTTTCTATCGCACTTCCTGCCTGTGGAACTATTTCGTGTATACTTTTATATTTACATACACGCTATACCTGATGTTGAGCAGTGTTACCAATTAATAAAGTAGATCATAAAGCTGTATTCTTATTATTAAATTTATGCATGTGCGCGTAAAAGGATAGGTGTGTGTGTGTGTGTGTGTGTGTGTGTGTGTGTGTGTGTGTGTGTGTGTGTTTTAATGAGAGGAAAACAGAATGAAGAAGGCATGAATAGAGAGAGAGATAAACAAATAAACAACGACGGGTCTGTACACAATATCTGGAGTTGGTGGCGGTTGGGATATCTGGCCTAAATCCTCTTCGCAAAATCAGTATTCTGGAGTTTTGTCCCCCGAAATACTGATTTTGTAAAGTGGGTCAGGTCTAGAACATTTCACCAACACCTCTCCCCCAGATATGGACAAGATCGGGAGACCGAAATAGAGGCTTACGTCGTAAAATATAGAGAAATATTAAAAGTAATTAAGAAATCAAAGATGGGTAGCAAGCAAGCATCGATGTAGTGATTGTGGAATTAGATATCACATGCATTTTTTATTAATAGTCGCCAGCGTTTACCCAGAATATTTATGATTCGACTGCGCGAAATGAAATCTTTTACTACCTTTCTGACCTGTAGGCACCACAGCTCTATTTGCTTTGGCCTCTTCTCACGCTCGTCCCTCGGCCGCCATATTCAATCCATTGGCACGATTTTACGACCAACAGAGTAGTTAGCTTAGCAATTTCACTTCATTTCCCAACCTGCAGTCTCGTCCTGGCTTCATGACTGAGCGTAAAAGCCAAAGACTTTGTCACAACTTTTACTTTTATAGCCGATTCATTCAGCCATTGCATTTTTTTCCGACACGTCACACTTGAGAGATAAATGAATGAGATTTATAGACGATAAGCGTTGGGAATAGCGTGAACATTTGTCATTCCACATTTCTACATCTACATTTAGACGTTTATTTCAATGATTGTTAATTGTCCATGTTATTTTCACTTAAAATATCTATCTATCAGTTAAACTATTTATCTGCCTATTCATATCTATCTATCTATCTATCTATCTATCTATCTGTCTGTCTGTCTGTTTGTTCGTATCTATCTATCTATCTATATATCTATCTATCTATCAGTCAAACATTTCATCTGCCTATTCATATCTATCTATTTATCTGCCTGTCTGTTTGTTTTAATCTATCTATCTATCTATCTATCTATCTATCTATCTATCTATCTATCTATCTGTTAATTCTCTGTCTAGCTGTCTATATGTCTGTCTGTTCATATCTATCTATCTATCTATCTATCTATCTATCTATCTGTTAATTCTCTGTCTAGCTGTCTATATGTCTGTCTGTTCATATCTATCTATCTATCTATCTATCTATCTATCTATCCATTTATCTGTCTGTCTGTTTGTTCGTATCTATCTATCTATCTATCTATCTATCTATCTATCATTTAAACTATTTATCGGCCTATTCATATCTATCTATTTATCTGCCTGTCTGTTTGTTTTAATCTATCTATCTATCTACCTATCTATCTATCTGTTTGTCTGCCTGTCTGTTTGTTCCTATCTATCTATCTATCTATCTATCTATCTATCTATCAGTCAAACTATTTATCTGCCTATTCATATCTATCTATTTAACTGTCTGTCTGTTTTAATCTATCTATCTATCTATCTATCTATCTATCTATCTATCTATCTGTCTGTTAATTCTCTGTCTAGCTGTCCATATGTCTGTTCATATCTATCTATCTATCTTCGTGTATTCATAGTCTTATCATATCTGATCATATCTATCTATCTATCTATCTATCTATCTATCTATCTATCTATCTGTTTGTCAATCTATCTGTTCATATCTATCTATTTGTGTATACATGTGTCTACCTATCTGTCTGTCCGCATGTTTGTTCATATCTATCTTCGTGTATTCATAGTCTTATTCTAATCTGATCATATCTATCTATCTATCTATCTATCTATCTATCTATCTATATATATATATATATATATATATATATATATATATATATGCCTGTCTGTCTGTTCATATCTATCTATCTATCTATCTATTTATGTAGCTAGCTCGCTATCTATCAGTCTAACCCAGTAACTTCATATATCTCTCTCTGTCTATGTCAGTTTTTTGTAAGTATTTTCATTATCTATATCTCTTCATATGTATTCATCTATGTTTTTCCTATATATGGCTACCACTACTGATTTGGTAAAAAAAATTAGCATACTATGATGAAAAATTTCTCCAAATTTAATAAAAACAAGTTTTATCATCAACATCTTTATGATATTTTTAAGACGAATGACCTGATTATTTTTCGATTATTAAATTATGATTTTTCATCATTTTTAGAACATTCGATATTTTGGCTAAATGGATTATTTTTCAAAAATCCCGGTGGCCAAAGATTAGTTAAGGTACTTTCATTGATTCACTAAAAAATAGCATATCATGATAACTTAAATACCCAAAACTGTATAAAAACAAGTTTTACGATCAACAACTTTATTTTATTTTTAAGAGAAAAGACCTGAATATTTTTCGATTATTAAATTTTGATTTTTCATCATTTTTAGAAAGCTCGAATTTTGGTTAAAATTTTTCGTTTTTTTTTTTTTTTTTTTTTAATTTTTTTGGCGCCAGCCCAGTGGCCAAATTTTAGTTTAAGACATTTTAGCGTTCCTTTTTTGTTTCTGTGAAAAACATTGATTCGGAAATTCTTGCAAAAAATAAAATAATTGTGGGCTTTTGTTGAAACTTTCAGGAGATATTGAGAAATGATTGAAATTACTTTAGAAATGTCATTTTTAGAGAATTTTTTTTTTTACATCTGTTATCCACAGTTATTTAATTTTATGAAGTGTTTATATTTTATAATGTTTATATTAGTTAAAAGCGGAAATCCTTGGAAAATTTAAATCATCAAATTAGACCTATAGCATTCTGTGGAGGTGGCTAGGATCAAAGTGTAGTATCTGCGCTTTGTGAGCTGCCGAGCCGGGTGTCTGTCGAACTCTCTGCTTGCAGAGAGGAACCCGGACGAGGCTCCGCCGAAGGTGGGGTTTCGTTCAGGGAGGTTGACGGAACTAGCCCGCTTGGACGGGTTTAGATGGGTTTTATTTTTGGCTGGGCCTACGGGCTCGGACATACCCACATTAAAAAGGTCTTGTGCCACATTCAATTCCTGTGGGTGAATTGATAAATACCATATATATATATATATAATAACATTGCTGAAATTCTGAACTCTTGTCTTATATTCATCTTTTGATCTTCAAGACAAATGTCTTCTGTGATCAATAAAGACAAAGGAATTGGCGTTGCCGTTCTAATACTTTTGAAGGGGACTGTATATGAGACAACGATATATACATTTTATATATCAAGAAAGAACAGTTTTGAAGGAGAAATGTATCACAAAGTGGAAAAAGTTTTCATGTGACGAGTTTGATCCGTAAGAACTTCATCAGATTATGTTTGGTTACGTTGATGCGCTCGAACAAGAGTCGCTGGGAATTTGAAATTTTGAAATTTTTTAATCTGTTTTGAAATAATGGTCTATGCAAGTACATACCCCCCCAAAACCCAAAAAACCCCAAAAAACCCGAAATTTTTAACCATTATTTTTCGTTCTGATTCCCTCATATTTGTTATTACTCCGACCTCAAAAGCAAATCTGGTATCGCTGACAAAACTAACGTTCGATTGTAGTTGTGACAGAGTTAGTGGGTAGTACAGTATATTTTTTGATTCGTTGAGTTTGCCAGGAGGGGCAACTGTTCTATTTTGGAATATTTTAGGAGCCTTTTGTTTCGCATTGAATATGAAATAGTTAAGGTATTGGAGGAAATTGAAAGTATTTTCAATATATTTCTCCGCTTCGGGTAAATATTAAGATCTTCAAATACTTTTAATGATGATTATTCCAGATTTTATTTTGCTGTTATGATGGGAATAGAAATTTATGAGATCATTTTTATTAGTTGATTTTCCATGGACACTAAGTTTTAAGCTGCTGTTTACGCGGCGTAGTTTGATATCTAGGAAATGTAAAATATTGTTTTCTTTCAATTCGTATGTAAATTCTAGTGTATGTTTGACTTCGTTTAGTTTATCTACAAGATCAGGTAAATCAGTACCATAGGGATATATTAATAGAGCATCATCAATACATCGGTAGCAAGTTGATTGTTTAGGTAAATTATTTTGGAAGGATCAGATTCGAGAAATTCTAAGAAGATACATGCCATCACTCCACTAATAGGCGACCCATTGATAATCGTAATGTTTGTTATAAAAATTATTATTAAATGTGAAATTGCATTATATATATATATATATATATATATATATATATATATATACGACATGCTAGGGTCACATTAGTTGTAATGTTATTTTATATATAGACTAGTCGTGAATTTGTCTGTCGTATTTGTTTCTTGCAGCTTTTCAATTAGAATGCCTGATTTTTGATTTTTTGTTATATATGACCCTTGTAAGCCAGAAAATACGGTATTTACGAAGAAAATACCTCGAGACAATATTAACAATAAAGTTAATGCAGTCTGATACTACTACTACTACTACTACTACTACTACTACTAAAACTAATTAACTGTTTACATCTTGTAAAAGGTTGAATTAGATAGCTAAGATTATAGTGTAATGACTCAACATACAAATATTGCCAGGTTTATAACCTTCCTGAAGCCGAGCCACATGCATAAACATGCTCTGTTTACTATCAGCGGCGGGAGCCTTTCTGCTATTGACTACTATGTCATTACCATATAAACAAAATCTGACGAGTGATTAATGTAAACAATACGTATCGCCAGTACGTGAGAGAAGCATGGCGAATGTGTTGCTGTATGAGAATTACTTTTATTTTCTTAGAAATTTCTTTCGAATATTAGGGTGCGTCTTCCAAGTAGCAGCGTCTTGTAAGTCGGAAAATACGCTACACGCAAATACCCTTAAGGTATAAATATATCTCTTCTCCACCAACTGTTAGTTAATTAGTAAGACTTGTATCACTAAAAAGCAAAAATATCTAAAAAAAAACAATTCTTAAAATCTAAAAATATATTAAAACCTGCAAAGGGTTGATAAGCGGTAAAAAACGAATATTTTACATGATATTATATGATGTAACCTCAGTCATTAGCGGTTACAAGTATTTCCCAGACTATAAACCTTCCTGGAGCCGAGCCACAAGCTTAAACCATGCTCTGTTTACTAGCAGCGGCGAGAGCCTTTCTGCGCTTGACTAGTATTCCATTGCCATACAAATAAAATCAGACGAGTAATTAATATAAACAATACGTGACACCAGTATGTGAGGGACATATGGTGAATGTGTTATATGAGAATTACTTCTTTTTTTTTTCTTAGAAATATCTTTCAAGTATTAAGATGCGCATTCCAAGCGGCTGTATGCCTGTTTTGTGGGATTTTAAGTAGAACGTAAATTTTCTTATTCTAGGCTGATAGTCTCTACAAAGATTATGTTTAATTCGTTTTTTTAAATGTTTTTTAAAATTATTGTGTTTCAGTAATTATTTTCTGTTCATCTATTTTTTTTCGCATGCATAGTTATTGAGTTTTTTTTTTTTATCCTATTGGTTCTTAGTCATTTTGACAATCCCACCTTCCTTGTTTGTGGGTGTAATGTAGATTTCCTTATGTTTACTCGGTCTCTTAGTGCGTGTAATTGTTTCTAGGGTAATTCTTTGTGCTACTATAGAAACCAACAAAAAACATTGCCACAGAGACACTTACACGGCCAGGATTGATTATAATATCAATATCAATATGTAATTATTAGCCAACGTCGGGTATTAAATTTTCATTGCATAATGTTCAATCTCTGTGGTTTTTAGAAATGAGTTACCGTATTTTCGGGCTTACAGGACGCTGCGGCATGGAAGACGCACCCTAATATTGGAACGAAATTTCCAAGAAAAAAAAGTCATTTTCATACAACAACACGTTCACCATCACATACTGGCGTCACGTATTGTTTATATTAATTACTCGTCTGATTTTATTAGTATGGCAATGACATACTAGTCCACCATTGCTAGTAAACAGAGCATGTTTAAGCATGTGGCTCGGCTCCAGGAAGGCTTATAGTCTTGGAAATTCTCGTAACAGCCAAGTACTGAGGTTACATCATATAAAGGCTGAATTAGATAACTAACGTTACAGTCTAAAGACTCGGCATACAAATCCACGTCCCTATCAGACAAGCAAATTAGGTGACCGTCCAATTTTACTTGAGCCTGAGCATTGCCATACGTTCGTCTTGGAAGACACACATATTTTTCAGGGGATTTTTCGGTAAAAATAGTGCTTCTTGTAAGTCGGAAAATACGGTAACCTAAAGGTACTGAAACCGCTGGAAATAATATCGAATAATAATTCGTTGTGTAAAATCGAATCATCGTTAAAATGCGCATTTATTGGCCTACCTGTTCCGACATCATGATTTCTCTTAGATTTTAATTTCTATCTTCTGCTTTTTTATTTTATTTTCCTTTTGCTAATAATTACCTAATTTATGTTGCCATACTTAATATTCCTTACAAAAATTCTACCTTACCCCTTTACCATTTCTGTTTTTTTTATCTCTCTATTTCTTTCTCTTTATCTCTATCATTTTATTTTGTGTTTTTTCTCTTTGCGATGTGTTCAGTTCTCTTTCCTTTCTTTCTATCTTTATCCCTTATTCTTTCAAGTACTTTTTTTTTGTTTTTCTTTCAATTTCCACAAAATGTGACACGCCATCAGATACATGACACTGGGACACTCGGCAATACCAAGAGCGTTGAATCTGTCACGATATTTCATGGTGATGATCTATATACTGTAGCCAGTGAACCAAATTGTTACTGCTGGTCGATTTTTATCGTGATCAAACTTCGATAAGGTTTTATCGATTAGCTTTAATTTTCTGCTACTTTTCTTCTTCTTCTTCTTCTTCTTCTTCTTCTTCTTCTTCTTCTTCTTCTTCAGCCTCGTTATTAAAGTGCAGGTGACTAATACATCGATCTATTCGCCTGCCTGACTACCTGACGTTCCGCTGAATGTTATGGAAGTTTTATGGCCTTTTCTTATTGCCAATTCCGTGCATATTATGCGGGGTAGAAACTGGGTCGGTCAGGCGTTGCTGGTTGTGTATTCGACAACTGTGTAAGAGGAAATACCTTATTTTCCAATCAAATTAATCAACATCACCATGACCTATTTTTTTTTCTACTGAAATCTACTGATTCTGATTTGGATAATAACAATTGACAACAAGTCATTGCAAATAAAGTTGAAAATTATATACAGAGTGTTTCATAAATACTTTTATAAACTTTGGGAACGGGTTCCTCACACCAAAACAAAGACAAAACTCCATATAAACATATGTCCACAAATCTTTCGTTTTTGCGTTATTAAGTTTAAAGTTTACAGTAGGCACTTTTACATCTACACTCCAACATCCAATCGAAAAATGCTTTCACAAACTTTGGGGGCGGCTTCTTAACATCAAAGCGAGGTAAAATGTCCATATAAACAAATGTCTAAATGTCTTTGTACCTCAACAGAGCAACTCAGAACAAATGTTCAAAATGTCCTCCGCTTGCCGCTAGACGTACGTATGCACTCATCGGATCATTTACTGGCAGACCCTTTCTAATATTCCCAGACGGTGTTGAATGGAACCTATCTTACATATCTACAAGTCTACCATTCAACCATGTATTGAATATTACTGACACATATGGTCCGGAGCTCCTACTATATAAAGAGAGATTCTTGGTAAATTCCAAAGAAGAATCTGCAATGTTAGTGGCCCTGACCTGGTATCTGGCCTCGAGTACTTCCCCAACACTGTAAAGTTCCCACCCTGTGCCTTTTCTATAAATACTTCCATTTTAATTAGTTGGATGAGTTCTTCGCTATGGTACCAAGATTTTATGAGTTTAAGCGTAGTATTATATTATCAACAAGGTCTCACCACGTTACATTTGAATTGACTAGATTTAACCGTAAGTTCTATCCTAACAGTTTCTTCCATCGCATTTCTCGCTTGTGGAACACATTTCCGATTCCATCCTTTCCAGCCAATTTTGATCTTCAAATATTTAAATGCAATGTCAATCGTGATCTACTGGCTCCCTGAACTGATTAAAAACTATATATATCGACACACAAACACAAACACATCACACATGCATATATATATATATGTGTGTGTGTGTGTATGTGTGTGTGTGCGTGAGTGTGCATGTGTGTGTGTGTCTATATATATATATATATATATATATATATATATATATATATATAGGTAACTATACTCGTTTCGAAAAACCTACGAATTTTTGATTTGCCAATAATCAAATCAATCTCGAAGGAAAAAAGGTTTTAAAAAAAGAAAACGCTAGAAAAATAAAAGTCTGTCGAAAAAAATCGCACAGATACAGGTTTAAAGCCCAAAGAAAAAACACCGACACGAGTAAACAACTAACTAACAAAAGATCTCAGTACAACCGTAGAGCAGATCTAGATACACCTAGTGAGTCAGACAAACCTACCTAGGTTTAACCTAAGTGGATATATATATATATATATATATATATAGTTTATGCAAATTTAGGTAATCCGTATGGGTAGACCTGAGGAGGATGATATCCAGAGATCTCAATGTAAAATTCAGAGCAGATGATAAAAGACAGACCACGTTAAGATTCCATGTAATAAGCTATTTCACCATAACCCCTTTCTATATATATATATATATATATATATATATATATATATATATATATAGTTTTTTAATCAGTTAAAACTTCTATGTAAACATAACAGGATGTCGTCTTTGATGATGAACATCTCTGTTGTAATATTCACATAACCATTCTGATGATGGCTCATATTGGCCGAACGTTTAAATCGAGGAAATCGAGCATAATAATAAAATATTCAGATATTGGACAGTTATTATTGTCCCCCGAAACTAATGCGACCATACGAAACTTAGCACGGCTCATGATCAAACATAACAGACATTCTTTGTCTGTTATATTTTTAATATATGTTTGAATATATATATATATATATATATATATATATATATATATATATATGTGTGTGGGGGGGTATTATTAAGTACAAAAATTAATGTCAAAGATAACGATTGACATTGCATTTAAATCCTTGAAGTTCAAAGTTGACTGGAAAGGAAGAAGCCAGTAGAGAGTTCTAGAAGCGAGAAGTGTAAAAGAAGGAAATATTAACAAAGAACTAATGGTTATGCCTAGCAATTTCAACTGTAAAATGATGGGACATGCCCGCCAAGCTAGTACTGCCCTTGAAGTCATAAAGCCTATTTACCATAGTATAAAAGTTCATCGGGACAATTATCATAAATGTATTTATAGAAAAAGCAAAATGAAGATAAGTTATAACGGTGGAAAAGGTACTAAAGCCGAGGTATCACGTCAGGACAGATAACATTGGAAACTTCTTGAGAAGTAATATGACTTTTCGTTGATTTTCTGCACGTGTGGCGGCGGTTACGATGATGGCTGTAAAGGCCAAGCCTACTCTTGAAGTGACGTGAGCGGGAGTCACATAGATGTATGTTTGGCCGACGCAGCTGGGTGAGTCAGCAAATTAGCGCCCTCATACACATACGATACAAAGCCACAATTTGCGTAAGTTTCTCTATCATCTTTCTCCCCTGTGCGATCACCGAACATAAATATGGTCAGTACCTAGACGGATGACCGCTAGGGAATACTAGGGTGGCTGTGCGCGAGGGGTAATGGGAAAAGACTTATGATGATAACTGGGAGAGTCGAGTTCGAATTGCAGTAGAGATCGTTATATTCACTTACGTACAAATACCCTTGGGAGAGATATGAATCCACCTATTCTCCTCCCAGCTATGGGCTAAATATTGTATTAGAAAATCATTACTATCTCCCAAAATATCTCTCAATCTGTTATGGGATCTTACCAATAATAATAATAATAATAATAGACTATTCCATACTTAATAAATACTGTGCCTCAGGAGTAGGCAAGGAGTCAGTCGTTCACTTTCTGAGCGACTGTTCGGTTAAACTCTCTTCCTACGGGCGGGAGGAACCCGAAGGAGGCTACGCCGAAGGGCGGAGTCTCCTTCGGGGAGGTAACGCTCGGCCCTGAACCCGTTTATACGGGTTCAAATGGGCTATTTTTGGCCGAGCCTAATGGCTCAGGAATGCCCACATTAAAAAGGCCTTGTGCCACGGCACCCTCGTGGGGGTGACTGAATATCGTCAGTCGTTCACCTCTGAACCGACTGCGGTTAAACTCTCTTCCTACGGGCGAGAGGAACCCGAAGGAGGCTACGCCGAAGGGCGGAGTCTCCTTCGGGGAGGTTAAACCGGCCCTGGACCCGTTCATACGGGTTCAAATGGGCTATTTTTTGGCCGAGCCTAATGGCTCGGGAATTCCCACGTTAAAAAGGCCTTGTGCCCATGGCACCCTCGTGGGGGTGACTGAATATTGTCAGTCGTTCACCTCTGAACTGACTGTTCGGTTCAACTCTCTTCCTACGGGCGAGAGAAACCCGAAGGAGGCTACGCCGAAGGGCGGAGTCTCCTTCGGGAGGCCTCGGCCCTGGACCCGTTCATACGGGTTCAAATGGGCTATTTTTTGGCCGAGCCCTAATGGCTCGGGAATTCCCACGTTAAAAGGCCTTGTGCCACATGACACCATCGTGGGGGTGACTGAATATTGTCAGTCGTTCACCTCTGAACTGACTGTTCGGTTCAACTCTCTTCCTACGGGGGCGAGAGAAACCCGAAGGAGGCTACGCCGAAGGGCGGAGTCTCCTTCGGGGAGGTTAAACCGGCCCTGGACCCGTTCATACGGGTTCAAATGGGCTATTTTTGGCCGAGCCTAATGGCTCGGGAATGCCCATAAAAAGGCCTTGTGCCACATGACACCCTCGTGGGGGTGACTGAATATCGTCAGTCGTTCACCTCTGAACTGACTGTTCGGTTCAACTCTCTTCCTACGGGCGAGGAACCCGAAGGAGGCTACGCCGAAGGGCGGAGTCTCCTTCGGGAGGTTAAACTCGGCCCTGGACCCGTTCATACGGGTTCAAATGGGCTATTTTTTGGCCGAGCCTAATGGCTCCGGAATGCCCACGTTAAAAAGGCCTTGTGCCACATGACACCCTCGTGGGGGTGACTGAATATCGTCAGTCGTTCACCTCTGAACTGACTGTTCGGTTCAACTCTCTTCCTACGGGCGAGGAACCCGAAGGAGGCTACGCCGAAGGGCGGAGTCTCCTTCGGGAGGTTAAAACCGGCCCTGGACCCGTTCATACGGGTTCAAATGGGCTATTTTGGCCGAGCCTAATGGCTCGGGAATGCCCACGTTAAAAAGGCCTTGTGCCACATGACACCCCTCGTGGGGGGGGTGACTGAATATCGTCAGTCGTTCACCTCTGAACTGACTGTTCGGTTCAACTCTCTTCCTACGGGCGAGAGGAACCCGAAGGAGGCTACGCCGAAGGGCGGAGTCTCCTTCGGGAGGTTAAACTGGCCCTGGACCCGTTCATACGGGTTCAAATGGGCTATTTACAGCCGAGCCTAATGGCTCAGGAATTCCCACGTAAAAAAGGCCTTGTGCCCATGACACCCTCGTGGGGGGTGACTGAATATCGTCAGTCGTTCACCTCTGAACTGACTGTTCGGTTGTACTCTCTTCCTACGGGCGAGGAGGAACCCGAAGGAGGCTACGCCGAAGGGCGGAGTCTCCTTCGGGGAGGTCTCGGCCCTGGACCCGTTCATACGGGTTCAAATGGGCTATTTTTGGCCGAGCCTAATGGCTCGGAAATGCCCACGTTAAAAAGGCCTTGTGCCACATGACACCCTCGTGTGGGGGTGACTGAATATCGTCAGTCGTTCACCTCTGAACTGACTGAACGGTTGTACTCTCTTCCTACGGGCGGGTGGAACCCGAAGGAGGCTACGCCGAAGGGCGGAGTCTCCTTCAGGGAGGTAAAACTCGGCCCTG